TCTTTCTTTCTTTCTTTCTTTCTTTCTTTCTTTCTTTCTTTCTTTCTATCTATCTATCTATCTATCTATCTATCTATTTTTAGCAAATAAAGTGCCTAAGGGCCTCATCTTGTATTCTCCTCTCCCTCTCATGTTTTTACAGGTTGCTGTACTTCTAATGGATACTCAGGGCACCTTCGACAGCCAGTCAACACTGCGAGATTCAGCCACTGTCTTTGCTCTGAGCACCATGATCAGCTCCATCCAGGTAACAGACAGTGGCAGTGGCGCTGCCTCTGCAGTGTCAAAATGCAGTGACTTATGATCATTTTTCACACTTAACAGCCATTGAAGCAGCACCATGACCGTGTGATCAAAATTCAGATGCTTGGCAAGTGACTCATATTTATGACAGTTGCAGTGTCCTGAGGTCATGGGATCATCTTTTGCGACCTTCTGACAAGCAAAGTCAATGGGGAAAGGTCATAAAACGGGGCAAAATATCTTAACGAATATCTCACATAACAACCGAAATTTTGGGTGCAATTGTGATCGTAAGTCGAGGAGTACCTGCAGTATTAGTGATGGATATTGACTCTGTATAGGCCATATAAGAGAGCCAGTTTGGTGTAGAGGTTAAGACATCAGGCTAGAAACCAGGAGAGCATGAATTCTAGTCCTGCTTTAGGCACAAAGCTAGCTGGATGACCTTGGGCCAGTCACTCTCTCTCAGCCCTAGGAAGGAGGCAAGACCACCTAAAATTTTGCAGAGAAAAACTGCAGCCACTTGTCCAAGCAGTAGTACATCAACCTAGTGCAGGGGTGTCCAACCTTGGCAACTTTAAGACTTGTGGACTTCAACTCCCAGAATTCCTCAGCCAGCAAAGCTGGCTGAGGAATTCTGGGAGTTGAAGTCCACAAGTCTTAAAGTTGCCAAGGTTGGACACCCCTGACCTAGTGCTTTCACTGCTCTTCTACATAATCTCAGGTTAGCTGAGGTTTCAAGAGAGAAAAGTAAAGGCCTCAGTGCTCTTTCTAGCTTAAATGCCCTTTACTGTCTTACTAAGGTTGAAACCACTGATTATTTTTTAAAACAGAATAGAATAGAATAACAGTTGGAAGAGACCTTGAAGGTCTTCTAATCCAACCCCCTGATTAGGCAGGAAACCCTACACCACTTCAAATAAATAGTTATCCAATTTCTTCTTAAAAACTTCCAGTGTTGGAGCATTTACAACTTCTGGAGGCAAGTTGTTCCACTGATTAATTGTTCTAACTATCAGGAAATTTCTCCTTAGTTCTAAGTTGCTTCTCTCCTTGATTAGTTTCCACTCATTGCTTCTTGTCCTGCCCTCAGGTGCTTTGGAGAATAGCTTGATTCCCTCTTCTTTGTGGCAGCCCATGTGATATTGGAACACTGCTATCATGTTACCCCTAGTCCTTCTTTTCATCAAACTAGACATTAAAGACCTGCTGTTCACAAGATCCAGTGGTCATATAGTCTTTTCAGTGCAGGAGCCAGAGCATGCACAGTTTTAGTATCTGAATGGAGACACAGGGCTGTGTGACTGCAAAATGGTGACAGTGGAACTTCTAAATTGTGATAGTTAATATGAGCAAGCCAGACTATATGATAGATGGGGTGAGAATAAAATAGTTACATATTGCCCTAAAAAATTGTCATTGGCTTGAGGTCTGAACTGATAAGATCCAATTCAGTGTTTCCTAACTTCTGCTCCTTATGATATGTGGACTTCAACTCCCAGAATTCCCCAGCCAGCATGTCTTACATGTTTTAGAGTTGTTAAGCTTGGGAGACATTACTCTAGACAGAGACCTCTTCTTGGCTATAGGAAGTACAACATACTGTAGGTAGCAGGAAGGAAATTGCATACACACGGAGCATGCAAGAAGGCAATAATTTTCACAGCCATTTTTACACAATTCTGGCTTTGTTTTGTACTCAGGTGTACAATTTGTCACAGAATGTACAAGAGGATGATCTTCAGCACTTGCAGGTAACTATAGTGCTCACCCATCCCCTACTCTGACCCTAAGAGTTGGATAGTTCTATGTATTCGGTACAGAAGTACTGTTTGTTCTTATGGTGTAAAGATATGCAATTATGACTCAGCATTATTACTATTTATTCAGCTAACATTTAAATAGTTTTGATGATTTCATGTGTTTATTTACTACATTAGTCTTATTATTGCTAGCCATATCTTTGTGATCAGGCCTGGGAATAGGAACATCCTCTGGATAAAGGTTTTAAAAATATTTACATGTCAGACAAGTTACTAGTACTTTTAAAGCAGATTTTGGCCAAATGTTTGATGCCTTTAATGTTATATTTAAGATTCAAAAATGCCTTTAGAGCTGTGAAAAGATAACACAGAAGCCCCAAATTCAGCTTTGTGGTATCTTTATTTTAAAACAATACATTAAAAGGATTCAACCATATTGTAACCTATACACCTTCAATTTCATACTTAAAGCTCTGTTTTCAACCTTATGGATGAAAGCCATCCAGATAAAGACAATAACTTTTGTGGCACCTTAGATCACTTAGCTGTAAAAGTTTACAGACTGGAATCCATTGATGCGCTCACATTTCATGTATTTGATCAAGAGAAATGTCATCAGCAAAAGCTGATGTCATAATAAATTGACTAAATTTTACGGTGCCAGCTTCCCTTGGTGCTCTTTGTGGTTTTGCCGATTTAGCTTATTTAGGGCGGGGGGAAAGAGTATAAATACCCTGAATTAGAAACAATGGAAGCAGTGTAATATTCAGCTCCAATTTAAAAATAGAGCACTCTGGTCAGCGCAATATAAGCAAAACTATTTGTTAACACGCAAGTCTTGTTTAAAATTTCCTCCTGGCTTCCTTTTTGTTTCAGCTCTTCACAGAATATGGAAGGCTAGCCATGGAAGAAACGTTCCTGAAGCCGTTTCAGGTAAGAAGATAATTGAGAGATTTCCTGTGCAACCTGCAGAAATTATGTTTTATTACTGCACAGATAATCTTGAGGTTGCACTCAAACAGAAATGGAAACCTCTATATTCTGAAGAGATAACTCAGTTCTTCAAAATGACCACTTGCCACTGCCTTATGGTAAGGCTATATCACCAAGTTGCTATTCAGTGCTGCAGCAGTATTTTTTGCAATATTATTCTGATGTTTTGGATTTCTCAGTTCCCATCCAAGAACTATGCTCCCATTTCCTGCACGATTCTGATCTTTGTAGGCATAGACACATCCCAGCATCTGGGATGTTGAAGGAGCCATTTCACACAACAAATTCAATTCACTGCTTAGTGCAGAAATTCAGATTAAAGTATCCCTGACAGATGTCTATCCAATTTCTGCTTGAATACAGCCAGTAAGTTCACCATTTACTGGATAATTGGTTCCACTGTAGAACTGCATTAAACCTGCCATTCCATAACTTAAGATCATCATTCTATGCCCTGTCCTCTGAAGTGACAGACAACAGATTTTCTTAGTGACAAGCAGTGATATCTGTAGGATCTTAATGCTTTTGAAGGTGAAAACCACATCCTAAGCTCTGTCTGTTTTGGGTAGATGAGCAACATCATGACATGCAGAAAAGGGCAGGGTGTGCAATATGGTTTATATCAGCCTGTCCCTTTTCCAACTCCTTAAGATGCTCCCTGTGACATCTGGAGCTTCTGCACCGGAGACAGATTCCCTGTGTGTCTATCACACTTGGCTAGTAAAGTCCTACCAAGTGTATCTTCCTCAGGGATGGGACCCACAGCATTCCCCGTCTCCCCACTCTGATGGGTCAGGTAGATGTCAATGTGCTACAAATCAGCTAATTTCTTCAAAATGAAGCAGTTTATTTAAACCTCACATCATAAACAGATAAAAACAATGCATTTAAATGAATGCAATGTTTTCCTTGCTTGCACATTGTATTCACTTTGCTCTTGGTTTTTATCGCATTTATAGTCTCTTATTTTCCTTGTTCGTGACTGGAGTTTTCCCTATGAATTTGCTTACGGGGCTGAAGGTGGAGCCAAATTTTTGGAAAAACGCCTCAAGGTTGGTATTAACAGTTGCATGTGTTTTTTCAGTCACAATATTCTTATTTTATTTTCCAGCTTAACGGAGACTTGTTCATCAGGTCAGGCAATAATGAAATAATCCTCACAGATTTAAGGTTATTAGTTTAAACTAAATTTGGTTAAAACCTTAAATCAAATTAGAGTCATTCTTGCAGGAAAAAAAAATCAATCACGATTTTAAGGTAGTGTTGTTAAATTTACTGCAGAGGGCAGCAGAGAAGAAAAGCTACCTGGTTGACCAGGGATCTCCTATCTTGGCAACTTTAAGACTTGTGGACTTCAGCTCCCAGAATTCCTCAGCCAGCTTTGCTGGCTGAGGAATTCTGGGAAGTTGCCAAGATGGGAGACCCCTGTGGTTGACCAATGAGAACTTGTGCGTCACATTTGTTGTGTGTTGTTTACAGCCCCTTAACATACTTTAACTCAATTTTGGTGCCGTGACTGGGAAAAGAAAAAAGAATTTCTGCAATTCTGAGATGGAAAAGTATGAAAACTTTTTGGAAGCCTAAAATAGGCTTAAAAGGAAAAATGCAGCTTTTCTCAACAGGAATAAAATTGAAAAATCCTAGCTCCATTCCCTCTGACACAGGTTACTCCCTGATAAACAGCCTTTGCTTGCATCATCTCTTTGCCTGTTGCAGAATAATTTTCTCCAGACTAGTTTTTATGTCTGCGGCTCACAATAGGAGTAGACTATTTTCTATAGCTGGGCCACAAAAAGATGATGATGATTTTGGCCTCGTAAGAAGTCTAGAAGGTGCATCAGTTGTTGTGTGATGATCTTGTCAAGTGGGTAAGGCTGAGTCATTTTAAGGTTTTGGATGGTTAAAATAAGGACAAGTATTTTAAGCATTAAGTCTTGTAAAAACTGAATGCACTGGTTTTGTACTTTTTAAAACCAAAGAAATCTTAAAACACAGAAAACCATACTCCGAAAAATTGAAATTTTGCTGTCAAATATTATGGCCCAGTCCTGAGTGGGCATAATGGGCTTTGAGGATTGCCTTCAAGCTGTGGGATGGTTACTGCTAAATCTTTTGTCCAAAAGGCGATGCATAAAATAAGAGATGGATCACTTTATGACTTTTGGGCCAGTAGAAATGTGACCTGAAGCCACATTCATGTTTTTTTTTTAAAAAAAAAAACATATATGTGATTATGCAAAAGCACACTTAAGTACTTTCTCCAGCCACATGATGAGAAGATGAGCATTTCTTTGTGGAAGCTGCCTTCTTCAACTAACTTGGAGGAATTTGGGCCTTAAGTGCTGCACATAGGATTTCAGCAGTGGCAGGAGGGATGAATCCAGAGGGAATTTGTCTTCTACTTGAAGATAAATAGAGGCTGGCATTGATTCAAGAAGGTTTTCCAGGGCACAGTTTACAGCACTGTTTTTCAAACTTGGCCACATTAAGATATGTGGATTCTGTCTGAGGAATTCTGGAGTTGGAGTCCATGCATCTTAAAGTTGCCAAGTTTGAAAAAGATTGGTGTACAGGCTATGCTTTGAAAGGATCTATGTTAATTTTGTACATAGGTAGTGCTCAACTTAACGACAGCTCATTTAAACTGTTCAAAGTTATAATGCCACTGAAAAAAAGTGATTTATGACCGTTTTTCACACGTACAACCATTGCAGCATCCCCATCGTCACATGATCAAATTTTGGATGCTTGGCAACTGACTCATATTTATGATGGTTTGTTCTGACCCAAGCCTTGTTCAAATCAAACAAACACAAAGTATGTATAAAAGCAAACCTTTTTAATGTGGCGCTGTGAATTCTGTTCATTCACAGCCAAGAGTCATTCAAAACTAATTGTCTCAGATAAGAGCAAGCCCTTTCAAGGTTGCAAAAGGCTGCCAAGCACAAAAGACTAATTGCAGATAAATATCCAAAGCCAGAAGTTTCAAAAAACAAACTGGAGTAAGCAGGGTTTCAACGAAGACTCTGAGTAGAAAGAACTTCTTTGCTTCCTGCAAAGAAGCCAACCCCAAAGGCTGGCTTTTAATCCCTTATGGGAGGGCCCATCACCTTCCAGCCTTACTTCCGAATCGCCCGTGCTGCTTCAGCTGCTCTTTCCTTCGAGCAGCCCTGCGTGTATGTGCACTGAGCACAGGCTCCCCGGGGTCCTCTTCGTCACTGCTGCCAGACTCCACAACCTCCAGAGGCAGCACCCCACTCTCCAATAGTCCTGGCCCCATCCCTGCATCACATGCAGGCCCCTCGTCCGAGTCCTTGCTGTCAGAGACCTCAGCCATCTGCACCTGCTGTCGGCAAACCACAACACGGTTGCTGTGTTCCAGGATACTGTGATTATCTTTTGTCACCTTCTGACAAGCAAAATCAATGGGGAAGCCAAATTCACTTAACAACCATGTTACTAACTTAACAACTGCAGTGATTCATTTAACAACTGTGGCAAGAAAGACCATAAAATGGGACAAAATTCACTTTTAACAACTGAGCAACAGAAACTTTGGGTTTAATTGTTGTCGTAAATCGAGGACCACCTGTACCAAGATACAACCATGGATGAATAACTATGAATAACAGGTTTATACTTGTCCTCCTTTAGAAAGAGTAATTGCCTGCTTGTTCCCAGGTTTCTGGAAACCAGCATGAAGAGCTGCAAAATGTGCGGAAGCATATACACTCCTGCTTCACCAACATCTCCTGTTTCCTTTTACCTCATCCGGGTTTGAAAGTAGCTACAAATCCCAATTTTGATGGGAAACTTAGAGGTGAGTCCATTTATCACCAGTAAGAAGCCAAGCGGACAAAAACTGCAGTAGAGTTCACAGCTACCGAGTTGGAGGTCCTGTATCATAGACAAATCTTGAGTCAGGGTTTGCAGGAGTGTGTGTGGGTCTATGACCTGTTTTAGGGATAACATTCATTTTCAATCAATTAATTGGAATAGAGCAGGAAGGGACCTTGGAGGTCTTCTAGTCCAACCCCCTGCTCAAGCAGGAGACCTTATACCATTTCAGACAAGTGACTGTCCAGTCTCTTCTTAAAAACCTCCAGTGATGAAGCAACTACGACGTCTGACAGCAAGTTGTTCCACTGGTTAATTATTCTCATTGTCAGGAAATTTCTCCTTAATTCCAAGTTGCTTCTCTCCTTGATTAGTTTCCATCCATCGTCCTGCCTACAGGTGCTTTGGTAAATAAGTTGACCCCCACCTCTTTGTGGCAACCTCTCAAATACTGGAATACTGCTGCCTCCTGATTGCCATTCTGAGAGAATTTCCCTTTACCCATTCAGATACCTTCGACATGATTAGAGATTATTTTTAAAGGGAAAACTATGAGCTCTACACAGAAGAGGAGAACAACACAGCAGTATCATCTAGGGACATTTCATGATTGAATTAGGTTTCTGATTGGGCCATTCTCACTGGCCTATGGGCTCATGGGCATCAAGCCAGGTTTTGCAAAAGCAGTAAACTCTTTCGGCCTAAGAGACACATTTGTTGATAAATATTTTTCAAGCTTAGGGTGGCAAAAGGGCCAGTCTAGTAATAAAACGACAGTATTGCGATAGAGATTTCAAAGTTTTTTTTGAAGGAAAGTAAGATTCTGCCAAGTTCTTTGGAGAAATGCTGTGTCTCAGGCTACGCAATGGAAATGTCCAGGGAAGGAGGAGACCTTTGAACAAACTACTGGTATTGTTCTCTCCTAATTTCTAAAGTTAAGATGAGCATGATAGTTCCAACCCTCCGGAATTAATCTTTCAAGAATTGTGTGATTCTAACAGTCATGGCCACCTCCAGGTAAAGATTTGGAAGATGTAACAGATAGTAGATCATGGTAGAAGGTCCACCAATAAAACATTAGTGAGGACAATCCAGACTAGGCAAAAGGAGCATGGTGGCTCACCCATTGCATTAGCTGTCATGCTCCTGATGGAGACTGACTCTGAGGGAGAGGAGGAACAGCCAACAGGGAGTGGAAGTGTGGCTCCAGAAGTACTGGAGGAGGCTGGGGAAGGGCAGAGGCCAGCTGGGCAGTCAGAGAAGGACCCAGGCCCATCCCCTCTCCATCCTAGAGCATGCAGGGAGGAGAGGATAAGGGAGAGACATGGTCTACTGGGCAGGAGAGGGCCTTGATCCTCTTCATAGGCTGCAGCTGCGACAACTGGATAAGAAGGCGGGCATGCATACAGGCGAGTGCTGGAAGCAAAGCATGGAAATATCTCTAGTTTATTGTTCCTCTCTGAGTTTGGCGTCCTTCCCAGTGTGTGTTCTGATATCTGGACGTCTTCAAGCCCTTATTTTGCCTGGTTTGTGTTGTTACTCTTTATAATTTAAACGGCATTTCCTCCTTCTTGTAACTGCTTATGTGGGAGTTTTTTTGTCTCCAGTCAAGGATATTTGGAGCTTGGAAGCAAAATGAAGCAATGAAAGGGGCTTCACCTGTTTTTTGTGACTGTGTTTATTTGTATCCCACCCTGGGTCATCACATTAGCACTTAAACTTACATACTGCCCCGTAGTACTTTACAGCACTCTCTGGGAGGTTTACAGTGTCAGCATATTGCCCCCATCAATCTGGGTCCTCATTTTGCCAACCTCAGAAGGATGGAGGTCTGAGTCAACCTTGAGTTGGTCAAGATCAAACTCCAGGATGCGGTCAGAGTTAGCCTGCAATACTGCATTCTGATCACTGCGCCATCAGGTTCCTAATTAATGAATTAGTTAATCCATGATATGATCTACTTGGTTTCAGTTTTGCTTGTTGAATCAATTTAGCAGTTTTGGTTTGTAATCCATAGTTAATGGTTTATTTTGAGCCTGGTCATTGTAGCTTCTTTAGCATACTGTAGTTTAAATCTAGCACAATGTATGAACCAAACCACTCTCACCAATACATGAGTAAGCAATTTAGTCTTCTGATTCTCCAAACTTCTATTATTATGTTGACCATCTGACCCTGATAAAATTTATCTTCTTTGGTCAAATTAAATGCTACTGCCATCCTGAGCTTTTCACCCCCATTGGTACTATGGAAAAGTTCATATAAATCACATTGTGTTATATCTGCCTTGATAGCTCATTCATGGATAGCAATTAAAAATACATTAACAGAAAGTGTCCAAAAGATCCATGTCGTAAATTAGGAGACAGTATTTTGGACACTTTGGTATAGAATTCATTATTTTGATTTAGATAACCATTGGTTCACTCTGAAGTCTCCTGAGTTCTTGGGGTTTCTAGTGTTTGCGTTACAAAAGGCAAACACACAAACAAGGTTCATGTTCCTCTTACAGAAATAGATGATGATTTCATCAAAAACTTGAAAATCCTGATTCCATGGCTATTGAGCCCCAAGAGCCTGGATGTCAAGGAGATCAACGGAAATAAGATCACCTGCCGAGGCCTTGTGGAATATTTCAAGGTAAGCTGCAAGCATGAAAGAAAGAGCTTTCTGGCTTGTAAACCTGCTTTTTCTATGGATCAGTGGCTAAGGTCCCCTTGCCATATTGGAAACAGAAACAATCTCTATGGCAAGGGTCTTCAAACTTGACAAGTTTAAGACTTGTGCACTTCAACTCCCAGAATTCTTCAGCTAACATGATTGGAGGAGGAATTCTGGGAGTTGAAGTCCACAAGTCTTAAAGCTGTCAAGTTTGAAGACCCCTGCTCTATGGGAACAGATTTCTTCAGAAACAGTTTAGAGCAGGGGTCCCCAAACGTGGCAACTTTAAGACTTGTAGACTTCAATTTCCAGAATTCCTCAGCCAGCTATGTTGGCTGAGGAATTCTGGGAATTGAAGTCCACAAGTCTTAAAGTTGCCAAGTTTGGAGACCTCTGGTTTAGAACTTAAACCCTTTCAGGTGTGGCTGAAGTAGAATTTTACCGTCTCCAGTGGTACAGCTAGTGATTAGGATTGCTATGAGTTTTACTTAAATGATATTTAGAAGTCACAGCTTTCCAATTCAGTAACTTTAAAAAAACAAACACAGCATTTTTAAGATACATTTGGAATCATCATTAAAGGCATAGCATCCATGACATAGTACACATTACATGGTTAATATGGTTAATTAATATTTTAACTCTATAAATAGGAACTTAGAAACACTTTTGACATTTTTTGACATAATATTTTAAGGGCAGGTTTTAAATGATATCCCATATATAACTTGGAGTCTTTTAACTTGTCTTTCTCCCAGGCCTATATTAAGATCTACCAAGGAGAAGAGCTCCCTCATCCAAAATCAATGTTGCAGGTAATTACTGCATTCTGGGGGGTTGAGAACCTATGTTTCTATCAGAAGGAAAAAGCATTTGTTTTCCTATCAATTCCTATCAATTCTGAGAGATGACTTACAGAGCTAATCAAGTCCCTTAAAGATGTGTGAGATGCTCAGATCTTGCACTTCCCATTAATTTGGGAAGGTCAACAAATTAATGGAATTGAATACAGTGATGGGAGAACATAATAGAGAGCACCCTACTAGGTGCAAATGGCCAAGAGGTCATAAGAAATAAGCAAAAACACTCACAATTCAATCAAGTCTTGCTTTTAGAAAAAAAGGTAAACCAGATGCTTTGCTAATGTATATAGGTGTACCTGTGTGGTTGAAAAACAGTTATTAATTTTATTAAAGTATAATAAAATAATGTTTACTTTCAAATAAATAAAAAGTAAATGTCAAGAAAAGTTATTTAGTGGACAAAGTGAGTATTTATACTTATTGCTTAGCAAGGCATCTTGGTCAAAATCATTTGTAATGCCTTTTACAGGTCTATCTTACTTGTTTGTCTTTTGGCCCTAAGAAGATAGAAAGTAGGGAAGGAGTCCTGAGTGTGTCTGTAGTCTAGGCCAACTTTTCCCACACTAGTACCCTCCAGCTGTGCGAAATACTAGCTTTCAAAGTTTCTCCACAATGACTGGGAATTGTAAGCATTGTAATTCAACACTTTGGGGAGATGTTTGGTTGGGAAAGAGTTCTCAGTACTATAAACAGGCCTTTGAGACTTCCCAACTACTTGGACTGCAGCCTTGAAATGAAAGGTGTATGCTGTAGATCAGGGGTGTCAAACTCAATTTTATTGAGGGCCGCATCAGGGTTGTGTTTGACCTGAGGGGGGGCATGGCTATGGTGTGTGGCCAGCATGACATCACTTGTGTCAGGTGGGGCTGTGGTGGCCTGAGTACTCTGCCAGCGAAAACGGGCTCCCATCCTGCAACCCTCCGCCAGCAAAAATGGAGTTCGGGGGGTCCTCGCGAGCTCCATTTTCGCTGGCAGAGGCACCATGGGCTGGACCTTCGCTGTTTCCAGGGTGGGCCCACAGGCCAGATCTAAGCACCTGTGGGCAGGATCCAGCCCCCGGGCCTTAAGTTTGATACCCCTGCTGTACATCAACGTTTCTCAACCTCAGCAATTTCTCAACCCAGTAATAGACTGGGGAATTCTGGGAGTTGATTTTCCACACATCTCAACGTTGCTGAGCTTGAGAAACACTGATGTAGATGATCCGGATGTTCCTCCAGTCCATCTACTGACTGCCATACAGCCTCCTTTAGCTTGCAAAAGCCTGGCTGATGCCCTCAATTCAAATGGCTTCCGTTATCTCTGCCAAAGGTGCTTTTTCAAGAGGCAACCGAATTTTCTGGATTATTATTTTTTTTTGAAGACATTTCGCTTCTCATCCAAGAAGCTTCTTCAGCTTTTTGGATGAGAAGCAAAATGTCTTCAAAGAAAAACCAGAAAGTCTGGTTGCCTCTTGAAGAAAGCACTTTTGGGACAACCATGATCTGGATGACTGAGAATCTCCATAGACATATTGCCCTTATCTCTTGTTTTTTCCCCCCTTTCCATCAAAATGGCTGAACAGTAAGGAAAAAAACAGCTCCTTAACTGATTAACTGTGGACTAGAGGAGAGATTTTGTGGAAAGCATTTAATTAAAGCATATAATAACCTCTTCCCAGGTTAAATGTGCATTCGCTAGGAGAGAAAAGGGATTGTGGATGGAAAAAGAGAACTGATTGGAGTCACCCCGAAAGAATTTTTACAAGTAGTAGAGAAGCTATTTGTGTATTATTCTGTTGGGTGCTTATTTATACAACATTTAGATTTATATCCCTGCCTTTCCTCCAAGAGTTTGAGGTAATGTGCAAAACATTTCTTCCAAAAAAAACCTTTCCCCCCTTGTGCTGAGTGAGAATGATTCCTCCAGAACAATCCTATGGTTGACATGGTTTGCTTGACCCTGACTTTGAGTTCTCTGATGCTTTAGGCAAAAAAGCCTCCTTGCTTGCAATTAATACATTTTCCAACTGTTATGGTCAACGGCCTCCTGTTTCCATAGCAACATTTTTTTTCTCTTTGTCCCTGTTGCCTAATTCTGCTTTTACAGGCCACTGCAGAAGCAAACAATCTGGCAGCTGTTGCCACTGCAAAAGATACTTACAACAAACGAATGGAAGAGGTAAGGCTCAGATTCCGTCCTATCATTTTTCTAAGGAGCCGCAGCTCCTTTACTCCATGTAAAACCTTCAGTGATCCGGTGTCTTCCGAAGAGCAGTGTACTTCCAAAAATGTGTGTCCTGGATCTCAGGGGAAGGTCTATGAGCTTTTCAGCCCCCAGCCATCATTCAACATTGCTGCATTATGGTCTATGGTTACCCTGTCCCAAAAAGTCATCTGAAATCTTGTGAATTGATGGTATTGTTGCAAGATTTTGGCCATTTCAATCTGGCTTTTCTTTTTAAAAATATGTATATTGATTTAATTGGGATAAGGGACCACTGACTAACTCATGATTCATACATACATACATACATACATACATACATACATATTTTTTCTGTGCCAGAATGTTTTTTTCTTCATCCTGAACCATTCTGGCACAGCAGTAGGATAGCCCCAAATTTAAAACAGAAACGGCTGTGAAAGTCTGACTCACAGACTAACACTATACAGAAGCCTGACGGCAGATGAGATTCTGCTGAAACGTTGCTACAACTTTAAAAGCACAACTATAATGACATGGGAAAATACCCGAACAAAGCTGAATACCATACATATAAATACCCGCAAAAACTTAAGAAAACAAATATAAATATAAGTATAAATATACATATACATATACATACACACACACACACACACACACATATATGGTATTCAGCTTTGTTCGGGTATTTTCCCACGTCATTATAGTTGTGCTTTTAAAGTTGTAGCAATGTTTCGGCAGAATCTCATCTGCCATCATCAGGCTTCTGTATTGTGTTCGTCTGTGAGTCAGACTTTTACAGTTGTTTCAGTTTTAAATTTGGGGCTAGCCTACTGCTGTGCCAGAATGGTTTTTTCTTCATCCTGATTGGTTGGGAGTGTTGGTCTGTGTTTATTGGTCTTGGAGTTTGCTGTGTTCTGCTTGATTGATGTTTCTAATATCTTCTGTCTGTTTTGTGGCTTTTTTTTTTTTGTCTTGATTGGCTGGCAACATTGTGTTCCTGTATTGGAGGCTTTTAGTGCAGCTTGGCTCCGAGTAAATGGACGGCTATCATTTATTAGGAAGCTAGGTTTCATCTGGGTGCCTGGTTGGGGTGTGTTTGAGCTGGAGGTATCAGGGGGATCTGTTTGTGCCCAGGTGTTTGCCTAGCTTGTGGTGTGGAGATTTTTTTGTTTGTGAGTGCAGGCTTCCAAATAATTGACAGTCTGGTGGAATCATCTCTTCTATTCATGCTTTCAGGTCTTTTTTCAATCTCTATGGCTTCTCTGATAATTCTGTGGCTGGGGTTTTCTATAGTGGCTAGGGTTTTGGTGCCATTGAAGTCGATGCTATGACCTGTTGCTTTCGTGTGTTGGACTAGTGAGGAAGTGTGTTCCAGCTTTTTTACTGCATTTTTGTGTTCATCGCAGCAGGTACTTATTCTTCTATTGGTCTGTCCAATGTATGTGGCAGAGCATGATGCACAGGGGACTTCCTATATGCCTTGGTTTTCCAGGTCAATTTTATCTTTGGGGTTTCTTAGGATGGCTGCTATTTTTCTGTCTGTTTTGAAGGCAGTCTTGATGTCATGCCTGTGTAGTATCTTACTGATTTTGTCTGTAGTACCTCTTATGTCGGGCAGGACAGCTGTTCCATAGGTCTGTTCATCTTCTAGGTCTACATTATGTCTCAGTGTGTTTTTGTGGATCAAGCCGGTGATTTTGCTTTTGTGGAAGCCGTTAGCTGTCAGTACTTTAGTCAGGGTGCATAGTTCAGTCTTTATGTGTGTCTTGTCTGCCAGGCGTTTGGTTCTGGCGATTAGTGTTTTGGCTATGGAGTTTATCTGTGCTGGGTGGTGGTGGGATTGGGCGTTGAGGTAGCGGTTGGTGTGTGTTTTCTTCTGGTATATGGTGTGTCCTAGTGTGCCATCTGTTTTTTTGTAGATTAGTACATCTAGGAATGGCAGTTGTTTGTTTGTTTCTGTTTCCATGGTGAACTTGATTTTGGGGTGTGTGCTGTTTAGGTGTGTTAGGAAATTGTTTAGGTTTTCTTTTCCATGGGGCCAAATCACAAATGTGTCATCGATGTATCTTAACCATAGTTTGGGTTTGAGGATGGCATCCCGTGCATCATGCCCTGCCACATACATGCAGAAGCCTGATGATGGCAGATGAGATTCTGCCAAAACATTGCTACAACTTTAAAAGCACAACTATAATGACGTGGGAAAATACCCGAACAAAGCTGAATAACATACATACATACATACATACATACATACATATGTTTTCTTAAGTTTTCGCGGGTACTTACATGTATGGTATTCAGCTTTGTTTGGGTATTTTTGTATTCAGCGATTACCTGTACCAAAATACTTTATCCCACTAAAAATGTAGAACAACCTATTTCTCATTTCACTTTAGATAATCTGCTTTGGTCAAACCCTGTTTGAATCCATTTCCAACTCCTGCATTTCAAGGTTTCAGAGGTAATAGAACAAGTCAGACAAGGACAGTGAAGATGATCAGAGCAGTAGAAACTAAGTCTTATGAAGAAAGATTTAAAGAACTAAATATGTTAAATCACTATAGCAGTGGTCTCCAAACGTGGCAACTTTAAGACTTGTGGACTTCAACTCCCAGAATTCTGGGAGTTGAAGTCCACAAGTCATAAAGTTGCCACGTTTGGGGACCTCTGCACTATTGTATCCAAAATGAGAGATTCCATGGACTCTCATGGATGTCAAGCAGATCAAGACTTGTTCCAAGGGAAAGACATGCAACCATGATCAATATCCTTTAAATGTTAAGGGCAGTCCAACAGTTAACTAGTTTCCCAAAATTTCCCTTTACTTGATGGAATCAAGCAGAGTAGATAGCCATTTACCGGGGATCTTTTAATTGCACTTCCTGTCCTGAGCATGTGAATAAGCCAGCTTTCTCAACCTGATGAATTGAATTCAAATTCCCAACTAGTATGAGGTTTGTTTGTTTTCATACTGTCTAGGACTTCCGGGAATTCAAATCTAACAAATCTGGTGAATGCCACATTTCTCTGATCAGGGGGGTTTACCCTGTGGGTTTTTTTTAAAAAAATGCTTTACTTACTTGTTTCAGGTGTGTGGAGGTGACAAACCTTTTCTTGCTCCCAGTGACCTTCAGAATAAACACCTGGAACTCAAGGAAGAGGCAGTGCGGCAATTCCGTAGTGTGAAAAAGATGGGGGGTGAAGAATTCAGCCGTCGCTACCTCCAGCAATTGGAGGCAGAAATTGACGAGCTCTATGTCCAGTATATCAAGCACAATGACAGCAAGAACATCTTCCATGCTGCTCGCACCCCAGCCACCCTGTTTGTTGTCATCTTCATCACTTACGTCATTGCTGGTGTCACAGGCTTCATTGGATTGGACATCATAGCCAGTCTCTGCAATATGATCATGGGGCTAACTCTGATCACCCTTTGCACATGGGCATACATCAGATACTCCGGGGAGTACAGGGAGCTGGGGGCTGTCATAGACCAAGTGGCAGCAGCACTCTGGGACCAGGTAAGAGATCATTTAACAATTCTTGAGCCTTAACACAGCTTCTAGTCTCCCTAGACAAAGGGAAGAATGGCACCCAAAATGGACAATAGTGAAGGCTTAAAAAGTTTGAAAACTCTGTAACAATGGAGCTTCTCTACAGAATCAGGGGGAACAAGAGAGAAAAGAGAGCGACAGATGATTTTCTCTTAAGTCCAAAGCAATATTTTATTATTTTATAATAAATATTTTATTTATTAAACGTGTTTGCCATCCAATTCCCAATGACACGAGGCACTAGAATAAACAGACACACACAACAGCTTCTCAAAGCTGCCCACGACCGTGACAGTCTGTGCACTTTTCAACTAACATTTCAAATATTAATAATATTTGACTGAGCCTTTTCTGATCCAGAGTCTTCACATTTTGCTGGCCTTTGGTTCCCTTACTTGGCTACACTAAATGGGAATGATAGAAACTGAAATTCTACGTTCCGTGAGGACAGCAGTTTGGAGAAACCAATAAAGGAGAGTATTTGTAGCTCAGGGTTGAAATGAGAAGTCTTTGGTGCTCTCTGAGTTTGTTTTCTTGCAAATGTTTCATTAGCCAAACTAGATATACTGGTAACATCATCAGTGCTAGTAAGGAGTAGAGTTTGCTTTCTGTGACCCCTCAGTTTGGAGAAAGTTTGCTGTTCAAAAGGACGTGTTCTTTTACAACATAGGAAATAGTTGCACAGAGACGATGATAGAAATTTAGAGAGCTGAAAATCGCTAGTAGGCATCTTAATAGTAATGAAAATATCAAAAGTCAAGTAGCGTTTGCTCTCTTGACTTCTCCAGGTAAGATGTGGAAAGCCCTAGAGCCATGTTTCTCAACCTTGGCGACTTTAAGATGGGTGGACTTCAACTCTCAGAATTCCCCACCCAGCCATCTCAAAGTTGCCACGGGTTGAGAAACACTGCTCTAGAGAGGCTACTAGTCAATATGAAGCGAATTTGAAGAAAGATTAGTGTTCCCCAATAGATTTATGCTCTAGATATGAGAACACAGAAGGCAGCCATAAAAGGATCTGGTTATCTTTTCAGTAATTAAAGTAAAAGATTTAAAAGCAAATGCATCTCTGATCAGAATATCCTTAACAAAAATCATGTCTAAGTTCCATATGGCATTAAAGCAGAAGCACATAGAAATCAGGATGCTTCGACATTCTCTTCTTGTGAGGACCAGTGTTATAGTGTCTGTTTTACAGCTGAGCCCTCTCCTGAATTGGCCAAGTTGCTTTGTGAGTAATTGAGATTGGTTTAAAAAAATCACTCCCAATTTGATGGTGTTGAAAGGTGAATTATTATGGAACATCATTAAAACAACAGCAGATGTATAGTACATGCATGAATTTGGATTGTGCCCAAATTCATTGGTTTTGCTAAAGGGTGCCTGGATAAATAAACAAGGGTGACAGATGGTGTCCACAGTTACTTGATGGCTATAGCAAAAGGTGTTCAAATCCAATAGGTTGAGGAAGGTTTGTTTAAAGTATATTATTATGTTGAACTAGGCATCCTGGGTTTTAGTCCTTACATAAATATCTATGCACAGTGCACTTTAGAAATCTTGTCTTCAGATCTTAGGTGTATCTAATGTTTATATGGTTTATATATTATTTTCCAGGCAAAAAATCATGAAAACCGTGTATTTAATAATCTGAATTCTCTCCTTTATTGATGGTTCAAGAGACCCCAAAGGAAGTAAAAGAATAAACAGCAAATATATAGAATTGCAAATATATCGAATTGATATTAAAATAGTTAAGTCAATAACTTAAATCTAGAAGGGCTAATAGATAGCTTTTGTTGCTAATAGATAGCTTTTGACTTGGAGGAACTGGTGGCTGGAAAAATGAATGAGGCAACTTTATAGGTTCAGTTAGCAGGAGGAAGAGAAGGCAGAATAAATTGAATGCACTCTCTCCAGATTGCTTTAGGGTACAGTGGGAACCCGGGGAATACAAATGCAAGGATATCTTGTGTTCTTTCTCTCATCTTGCTTTTTTTCTTTCTTTTTGCAACTGGCTTTTCTGCAGGGCAACACAAATGAGGTAAGCCAACTTATTATTACGCAAAAGCAATTCCTTCTCCACCAGTATACATATATGAATGACTATGCATGTGGGTCCATATTACTTCAGGGTATTTGTATTACTGGAAGTTTTAATTAAATCTTTCCCATCATAGTCTGGAATTGGGAAGGCAGCTGCAGATCAGAGACCAAAAAAACCTGCTTAATATGGCGCTCAGGACATACCGCAAAGCCCATTGTTACAAGCAGATTTTAGAGCAAAACAAGTAGGAAAAGGACCCTGGGTATCCCATTAAATCTGCTGCACTTCCCTGTAATATTTGCTGGGAAAGGATCCAGGTCCCTAATGCTAGAGGAAGCAGGGTCAGCTCTCTAGAGAATTACCATCCCTGAAATAACTTAAAACATCAATTCCTCTGGCAAAAAAGTTCCACAGCCAGTGGAATACATGTAGTTGAACAAAGGAATTTGCACTGTGTTTTCACATTTTACATACATTCTATCAGTAATTGAAACAACAAGGCATTTGCTTGAGATAAAGCTAAAAGGATTGAATACATGCAGCATGTCTGCTTAGTAGTCGTCCGTGAGAAGAACAATTGAAAAATTTTTTCCTCTCCTGTTTTTTATGTTTTGGTTTTCAGGCTTTGTATAAACTTTACAGCGCAGCTGCCACACACAGACATTTGTACCATCATGCTTTCCCTACGGCCCAGAAAGTGGAGCCCAAGGAAGAGACAGAAAAGAAGAGTGTGTAATCCAGATGCTTTCCACAGAGATGCAAGAAATACATCATTAAAACACATTAATCACTTCTGCATCCATGTACCAATCTCTGGCACTCCTCAAAACGGAAGATAGAGAAAAATGGTAACTCATTCACATGCACCAATGGCTTAAGTGTGGCTGCTTTAATTTGGACAGTGCCCTGCTTGAGAGCGGATGAATCAGCATGACTGTCATTTTCTTTTAAAAAAGGAGGCAGTGACTTAATTTTGCTGCAGACTCAGGTCTCTTTGGTTCTCTAGAAATTGCTGTTACTTTCAGATCTTTTTAAGAGCATAAGGCCAGAGCCGGAGATACTAATTGTTTCTCCTTTCACACCAGATTTTTTTTCCTTTCAGCTGAGCCATGCCATCCCAAAGGAGCAAATTGGGATGTAGCAGCAATGCAGCTGACGATCATGTACACAACTGCTTGTGTGGGCTTCTCTGAATCTGAGTCCCTTGAGTCATTAAGACCACTTTAGGCTTTCTAGGAGAAAAAAAAATAAAAGACTCTTGAGTCAGAATCAACTCCTGGTAACTTCACGGACACATCCATGCAGTTTGATGAAGAGAAGTATGCAAATTAAATCTTTATGTGCACTTGGGAGGATTTTGTGAGGAAAACCTGATGAATAAAAGTAATGGTCTACCTGTAATCTCTACACTTATTTAAGTGGGGTTATCCTAACATTGCCCAATGTACACCTAAAGGTTTTGATAGGCACACTTTTCTTCGTACAGCTTATTCACTTGCCTTCTCTGAAGTTGCAGAAATTTCTTTTGCTATGATATGTTAAAGAGATGGAAAAGCCTTTTTTAACATGTCTTTGAAAATTCCACTGTATATATATATATTTGTTTAGTGCATAAAGAGTGTTCCTAGTTCTCCCTCGAGCCGCTCGGAGCATCCAGAGACTGGGATGTGCTTCTGAGTCCTCTTCTTGCAGGCTGAGCTTTAGATGAGGAAACGCTCCGCCCCCTCACGTGGTATCGCGCAGCGTCTCCCCAGTCTTTTGCTCAGCCTCGAAGAGTCAGGCTGTGTTTTCAGAGAGCTCCTTGGCTGATCGCACATTTCCTTTCTATTACAACCCTCTCGTCTTGATAAGGTTTGCTTTTCCTTCCTCCTCCTGCGCAAAGGGTCTGGACTTAAGGGAAAATTTTTCCCCGTCCTTGGGGCAAGGCTGCGGGCTCGCAGCGCGATAGCGCGACCCCCCCCACCCTTATCTGATCGCTTCGCTGCCTCCGCGTTGCCTCGTGGCACGCGTTTTTCCTTTTCTGCTGGATTCCCCCCCACCTTAAACACCGATCGGGAGGGTCATCGCCCCTAGGGCCCTAGGCGCTGAGCTGACCAGCGAAGCCCTCCCTTCCGTCCCGAAGGCGTCCCGACGGTTCAGCTTGCGGCCGCCATTTTGGCTCCGCATCGTGGTCGGGCGCCATTTTGAATTTCTTTAGCTGCGGCGAATTGGAGCCCCAGGCCTTGGGTCAAAGCTTAGCTGCCCATTTCTTCCACCTGGCTGGCCCTTGTATTACTTGTTGGCCTCCCGCAGCCCGTTTTTCGGGGCGAAGTTGCAGCCCCCCCCCCTCCGGTTTTATTTTTCTTGTCTGGAGGCCTGCTGCCAGAGGCTCTTCTTCTACCATAGGCCTCAGGTGTTTATTTGACTAATTGGCCTGTACTGAGATATACGAAGTTCTCACTGTTACGGTTACTGTTTTTTTAAAAAAAAAAAAAAAAAAATCTATCTATATATATATACTTAATACATATACAAAAGGAATATATTAAAAAAAAAAAAAAAAATAATAATAATTATAATAATAATAATTTTTGTCTTGTACAATAATATTTTTTCGTACATATATATATATATATACGGATAATCTGTATATACATTTGGTACAAAAGCATAATAAAGATAAAAATCAATCAAAGGATAAGGAAGAATTATAATTAGAGTATCTAATTTTCTGTACATACTATATTTCTTAGATACCTTACTGTTATCTCTGTACACAACAAATTCCAAAAGGGGGAGAGGGCCAGCTTCACCTTCACCCGGCCTCATCCAGGCCTGATCTGGGCGAGCCAACCGCCTTTGCTAGTAATTGTATCTAACATGGCAGACGACAATCCCTCTAAACGTCCTTCTTTGAAGGCTAAGGCAAAGTCCCACTACTTGCGCAGGCAGGACAAGGAACCTAAGGGCTCTAGACAGGACAAGGAACCTTCCAAGGCCGCCCAACGTGACGCCTTAAGGCGCCACAAAGCGTTGGAAAAAGAGTTTGACCGGCGTTCAAGGGAGTCCCGCTCGGAGCCGTCAATACCTCCTCCTCCAAACCCTTCTACCTCTGCTCAATCTCTCCCCTCAGACCCCTCTTCCCTACCTAGGCGCAGTTCGCTTCAGGGTCTTCCGACCCCCGGACCTCCGACCAGACGGACCCCCGAAGCCACCTTTACACCCACAGCCGCTGGTCTGCGCCACGATGAGCCCTCTACCTCCGAGGTTCCACCTCACATCAGGGCTTGGATGGAATCAGCCATCCGCCAGGGCATAGCAGAGGGACTACAACACATGACAAGATCAGGCTTCTCTCCGCGAGCCTCCGAGCACGACTCGATATCAATCAGATCCCTTCCACAACCGGTCCCCCCAGTTGACCAGGTACTCTCTCAGAGGGACAGCCCTCCTCCGATTGGGGCCCAGGTGGAGGAGGAAGGGGACTTTGGGGATTTCAGGGAAGAGGAAGAGGATTCCCGGATGGGATCCTCCCGCTACAGTGAACCCCTCTTAGAGGCTGACATCATGGAGGGGGAGATGTCGGAGGACGAGGACCCTTCTCCCGACCAACCCTCCTTTGGGGGGCTGTTTAAACCGCATATGTTCAAGTCCCTCCTCCTTAAGGCCAAGAATGTCTCTGGCCTTCTTTCCCAGTCCGCTGCAGAAACCCCCCCTGTCCCAGAGGGCCCGGAAGACTCCATTTTCACCCAACCAGTGGTGGAAGCTGAGGTCATCCCATCCCCTCCCATCTTCGTAGATCTGGTAGCGAAGCAACTTACCTCCTCAGGGACCCCTCCCACTCCCTCTAGCCAAGACAAGAGATTCTTTAATCTCGATTCGGCTCTGTCTAACCTCCTGAATATCCCGGAGGTCGATGACCCCATTGTGGGTCTAGCCTCCTCCTCTACCCCTAGTGAGGCCCTAGAGGCCTTGAAACCTGAGGACAGGCGGGCGGAGCAGGCGCTACGCAGGGCTCACCTATCTGACGCCTGGGCCATTAAGTCAGCTACGGCCGCCTCATTTTTCACGAGGTCCTCTATCCGCTGGCTACGTCAGCTCAAGGACCACATCCCTGCTTCCAATCTCAGAGCTCACCAGGATATAGCGAAGTTAGTGGCTGCAGCCGAGTTCTCGGCTGACGCCACTTACCAGTCGGTAAAATTTTCTTCCAGGGCCATCACGTCGCATGTCACGGCTAGACGCATGCTATGGCTCAAACACTGGCAGGCGGACGTAAAGAATAAGGTCAAGCTGGCCACTGCTCCCATTACGGGAGATAAACTGTTTGGCCCAGCTTTGGAACCACTGCTGGTCGAGGGCCGCAGTAAGAGAAAGTATTTGCCCTCCCTTTTTCGAAGATCGGAGACCAGGGGCTCTCAGCCCTTTCGGAGGAGCTTTCCACGCCCCTTCTACCAACCCCCCTTCCCGCCCAGATACCCTAGACCCCCTTCCTTCCGATCCCAGGACCGCACGGACCCGGGCGACAGATCCAGACGCGGTGGCGGCTACAAGAGACCCTTTCGGGGATCGGGAGGAAGGCCCTACCGCAGAAGGTAGAGCCTCTTCCTCCCCCCCCGTTGGCGGCCGCCTCAGCCACTTCGCCGCCCAATGGGACATATCCACTTCCGATGCATGGGTTAGGGACACAATCAGGTTTGGCCTCGCCCTGGAGTTCAGGTCCGCTCCCCCCTGATTGTTTCTTCCCCTCCCCCTCCTCAAGGGATCCCTCCAAACGTGCACTAATGGATGCAGCCATCCATCATCTTCTTGACATCCAGGCCATTCAACCTGTCCCTCCGGATCAGAGAGGAAAGGGGTTTTACTCCCATCTCTTTGTGGTGCCCAAACACTCTGGGGGTTGGAGAGCCATCCTGGACTTGAAACGGCTCAACCGTCACCTTATCCAGCGTAGATTCAAAATGCACACTTTGCAATCAATTCTTTTAGGCACCAGGCGGGGAGACTGGTTATCTTCCATAGATCTTTCGGAGGCATACCTCCATATTCCAATCAGGCCTTCCCATTTCAAATTCCTCAGGTTCTGTCACAATAGCCTTCATTATCAATACGTGGCCCTTCCCTTTGGACTGGCCTCGGCTCCCCGGACCTTCACCAAGGTCCTGGCGGCTCTGGCGGCTCATCTCAGAAGCGTTCCTGTCCGCCTCCACTGCTACTTGGACGATATCCTTATTCTATCCCCGTCCAAATCCCAGGCAGTCAGGGATACCAGGGTCACCCTCTCCACCTTACAGGCACACGGGTTTCTAGTCAATTGGCAAAAGAGCCAACTTACCCCTTCCACCCGAATCAACCACTTGGGCGCCATAATTGATTCGGTTTCTCAAAGAGTTTTCCTCTCCCAGGAGAGGTTCCTTAGCATTCAGGCCCTGGTCAAACAGATCAGGCGTTCAAGGAGGGTGGCCTTACTGGACCTCTCTAAATTGTTGGGCAAAATGGTGTCATGCATCTCTATTATTCCCTGGGCCCGTCTACACAGCAGATCCCTCCAGTGGTTCCTGCTCCCATTCCAACGATCCGGAAGAAGCAACTCGAAGGCCAGAGTCAGGGTCCCTCCAAGGGTCCTCACGTCTCTTCTATGGTGGACCAATCCCGCCATCAACAGAGGCCACCTCTTCGCGGAACCTCAACGACTCACCGTCACTACGGACGCAAGCCTGTCCGGTTGGGGCGCTCATCTCGACTCGCTCTCGGCTCAGGGCAGATGGTCGCCGTCCGAGCAAAGGTGCAGCATCAATTGGCTAGAGCTTCACGCTGTCCATCTGGCCCTGCGCAGTTTTCCTCAGATCCGCAAACATCACGTCCTCGTTCTCACGGACAACGTCACGGCCAAGGCCCATATCAACAGGCAAGGCGGCACCCAGTCCATCCAGCTAATGAGGGAAGCCGAGCGCCTTTGCCGCTGGGCAGAATCCAACCTCCTATCACTAAAAGCCGAACACATCTCCGGAGTAGACAATACTCAGGCGGACTGGCTGAGCAGGGCCACGGTGGACCAGGCAGAATGGCGTCTCCATCCATCCCTATTCGAGGAAGCGTCCAGAATATTCGGCCTTCCGGTGGTGGATCTCTTCGCCTCCCCGTCCAACACTCAGCTTCCACGGTTCTTCTCCCGGTATCCATCTCACCGGTCGGAGAATCACAATGCTCTGCGCTGCCCATGGCCCCCAGGGCTCCTATATGCCTTCCCTCCGCTCCCGTTAGTTCCCAGAGTAATACAGAAACTTCTTCAGGAGAGGGCAGACCTTCTCCTGGTGGCTCCCTATTGGCCCAGGCGACCGTGGTTTGCGGATCTCCGCAATTTATCGGTAGCGCCCCCATGGAGGATCCCCCCGGACAGGGTCTCCCTCTCTCAGGGGCCCCTTCTGCATCCGGAGCCTCAATGGCTCCAGTTAGCCGTCTGGAGGTTGAGCGGATCCGTCTGACTAGTGAGAACCTCTCGAGTCAAGTCATCGACACTATTTTGGCCGCTAGGCGACCTTCCACTACACGAATTTACGATGCCACTTGGAAGGGGTTCTGCAAGTGGTGTAGCGGGTCTCAGATTGATCCCCTCTCTCCCTCTGTGGCTCAGATCCTAGATTT